TCAAAAAATGCTGATCATCACAGATAAAATGGTGAAGAGATCAGATGCTTCTGGAACAAGAAAAAAGTCAAAGTTCTGAGTTTTGCTGATAAAGTGTCTGACCTCACAGAGAATATTCTGGAAATCACAGCTGAGTATCCAGCTCTGAAGATGCTCATCATTCATACAGGAAGTGATGAAGTTATGAACTGACAATCAGAAATCCTGAAGAAAGATTTCATTCAGTTGCTGAATGCAGTTAAAAATCTCAACATGGATGTATTGATCAGTGGGCCTGTTCCTACAGCCCAAGGAGGTACCGAGAGATCCAGTAGGCTGTTGGCCCTTAATGTTTTTTTTGGAAAAGTCCTGTGCTGATCGCTCTGTGAGATATGTGGACAACTTTGATCTCTTTTGGGAGAGACAACATCTGTTCAAGTCTGATGGACTGTCTCTAAATCAAACTGGAACTTCTGGCTTCTAATATGAAGTGTTATCTGAACCAAGTTCGAGCTGGAAACAAACAACAGGAGAAATCACAACAGCTGACATCTGCTGAAGGACAGCTGGAGCAAACTGAGACACAGATGGAAAACAAAGTGCAAGTTACTGATAAGGTGACTGCTGCTGAACCAGCCTCACAAACAGAGGATCTGGGAAAGGAATTTCCCCAAACTGCAACAGGATAACAACAAGACCCCACTTTCTCGCCACCAGAGGACCTCAAACCTTCTTCCTCTGAGACCCCAACAGGTCAGCAAGTGGAATGCCACCTCCTGGATTTTACTAACAACATGGGAGAACCTGGCGAGATTAAGATACAACTCACATCATGCCCAAATCCACATCTTCCAGCCCCTGGCACTAAACCAGCCTCGAAGAAAATTCACAAATCCCCACCACCACCTCTGACTCTTCCATATATCAAAACAGACAAGCCTGTTTGAGTTCAAGATGATCCAAAGACTTTTGTGTAATAATTATGTTTTGGGGTGAGTAATTACTGTGGGAGGATTAAAAACTGAATTACTGGGGTTGGGATTTTAGAAAAGTATGTATACTTAGGTTTCTGTTGACATAATTTTTAAGAGGTTATTTTTTTTGCTTTATTGATCATTTAATGGCCAAATGGGGGAGTGTGGTGGAACTAATACTTTTAGGTTTAAGCCAGTAATTTATGACATACCTAAGTTTTCATGACATGCTTATCAGCAGATAGAATGACTAAAGTCAGAACAAGATTTGTTAAAGGTGCAGTATGTAACTTTTCTAAAAATATATTTTTAACATATTTGTTCACTCTGTCACTATCTCCTGACAGATTGATATTAGACAGGTAAGCTATGGGG